CTTCCATGTCAGTGGCATGGTTATTTCATGTTGGGTTTGAGCCTGAGTTTTAAAAGAGCTATCTGAGATACTGGTCTCTCTTTGGCCACATCATGAGAAGGCATGACTCATTAGAAAAGACGATAATGCTAGCAAAGGTTGAGGGCAATAGAAAGAGAAGAAGGCTGCATGCCAGATAGATAGACTCAACTAGGGAGGTCATGTACCTGAATCTACAAGACCTAAGCAGAGCAGTGGAAGATAGGGTTTTTGGGAGATGTCTCATCCACAGCATTGCCCTGAGTCAAGGTCAACTTGAGGGCAGCTAACAACAACAATCCAAGATACCAAACCTATGAACACAACAACATTTTTCAGAGAGAGAGAGAACAACATTAAATCATAGTTTCAAATCTGAAGATCCTTGAGAGATTCAAGTTCTCCTTGAGATTCTGTGGGCACTGCATTTGCCATTCTTCACTCGAGAGCTGAATCACTTAATGGGTCAATTAAGCACATTATGCCAATTGGAGAGTGTAATGTTTTCAAATAGATAACAGGAGTCTGGCATGAGGAATGGAGCAGCTCGCCTCCATACCTTCTATGAATGGAATGTTCTGATATTTTGTAAGTGTGTATATTGGGACTATTATAAGTTACAGTTGTGCAGGTTTGAAAATAGCACCAAAGCCTTGTCTCCCTCATTTGATTCCAAACTCAAAAAGAGCAAAGCCTTTGTGACTAAAGACTGATGCAGGCGGCCCATTTGGGACGGCTCTGGGCTGCTCCTGGGAGTGGCGGATTGGGACCGTGGCAACCACACATCAAAGCCCCGATCTCCTTTTTGCCATCTCCAAAAGAGCCCTTTCTACAACCTGAGTCACACTAACTGGAGAAACATTTACTTTCAACTTCCACCTGGAGATGGCAGTTGAAAACTGGAGACGTGGGGCCAGGATCTGACAACCCTAGTTCTGGAATGTTGTCAACTGCTTGAAAATGGTGCTTTAGCATGGTCCTTTTTTCCCCAATTCCATCATTCAGCAGACCATGCAACTCACTCAACCAGTCAAGAATGCTACAACTATGAGGAAGCAAGGTGAGAGATTTTAATCAGTGTGAAAATTGGAGATTCTCTAAAAGCAGGGCTACAGAATTTTCATCTCGGTCTCTCAGGCAAAGACGCAAGGAGGAGGTGAAAACATTTCAGTTTCATCTAAGTGCAAATGATATGTTAATATATGTTGACATGATTACCATACTTCTTGTTATTGAAGCTCTTTTCTTGAAGGAGACCTGCTTACAAGAAACATCCTGGCAGCAAATGCAATCATTCAAATTATGTGAATTAGCTCTCAGCTCAAAAGAAGAGAAATGTAAAAGAACAACAACAACAACAACACGTCAATGGCTTCACTAAGAAGCCACAAAGGATTGAACGGAAGACTTGAACCCTTTCTGTATGATATTGTTAGCACTGGCCAGTGATTCCCATGTCAGTGGGGTGAAAATTCTGTCCAGGTTTCAGCCCAAACTTTATCTAAAGTGTTGGACTTTACTGCTCCCAAAATAGGTTCATGACCTTGGATAACACCTTTAAAGTTTGGATTAAAATTTGAAGCAGATCCACCATACTATGACATGGATGTCACTCACTGCCACTCCAGGTATGAAACCTGTGTGACGACCTGATAGCTTCAAAGCATAAAGTAGAAACAAAGTGCTTTCTTTAGATTTCCTCCACCCTAAACTGAAGATGGGAACCTAGTTGTGTCTTGTAAAACATTCATAACCATGCTGTGATATGTTCCAGTTGTTCCTCCTTAGATGCATTTGTTGCAAGTTGAAAGACTGTACCCCCAAAGTGTTCATGAATGGCTCCTTTTCAACCTGGAGAGCAGTGACAAGTGACCTACCCCATGGGTCTATTCCAAGTTGAGAGCGATTTAGAATTTTTATAAATAAACTGGAGAAAGGAGGAGAGGGGATTCTTTTCAAGTTTCAATTGGGGAGGAAATGCTAAGCATTCAAAGACAGAGAAAAGATTCGGAGTGATCCAGAGAAGATGGAAAACTGAGCCAAAGGAAACTATTTTAACAGATACATGAAAAGTTCAGTATTCAGTTTGGAAAAAATCAAATGCGCAAATATGTGAAGGTTAATACTTGGCTTGACAATGGTAAATGTCAACAGGATTGTGTGTCTTGCTAGATGTTATTCTATATTTATTCATTTCATTTATTTGCTACTGTTTCCCCAAAATAGGACACGAGGTGGCTTCCAAAGAGAAACAATTAAAATATCTTAACCACATTTTGAACACAATTAAAAATCCTAGAGGAAGGTAACCAATCTCTAGCCACTGCATCTGGATTTGTGCCTGAATGACTGATGAAAGCTGTGTGTAGCAGGCACCTATGTTGCACCCAAGTCCCAATCTGTGGCATTGCAGAGTGCCATTTCTGATCACGCACCACACATCTGGGAATGCAACAATCCAGCTTTGTTCACTTTCTGCGATTTGAGCCATCACAAGGAGCCTTAATTCTAGTCTTGAACTGGCATGTTTTTGTTAAAAGAGAGAGAAGAATCCTTAAATAAATTAATTCTTCTGTTGCTATGACTTTGTATAATGAAGTCATTTCCAAAAGAAACCTATAAAAGAGGAATCTAAGTGGATAAAGGAACCAAATGAATATTTATGTTCTTTCCCTCTTTTTATTTCTTCTCCTAGAAATGGGTGCTTAGCATCAATGTTCTTCCCACACTGCTTGGCGTTCTGAATATGTAGGCTTAATGCATTTTTAGTTAATTCAAAGAACAAGGCACAAATTTAATGGCAAAGAGTAGAAAGAATATCTGAAAATATTTTTTAAAAGTAAAAAATAATAATAATGAGAGGTTTAAGTGTCAAGAAACTGCTGTGGAGAATCCTAGACAACATGAATCTTTGAACTCTGGTGCTTATTCTGCATAAATACACATATTTATTTATTTATTTATTTATTTTGCACAGAAAACTTGCATTTTTTTTATTTTTTGCACAGAGTAAGGTCCCATACTCTAAATAGTCTTCAAAACCTATGAAGTTTTTAAAGACCTTTTGGCAACAAAAAGAAAGATAGTAAAACTAACCATGTGAGAATAACGTTTATAAAGGTTTACATCCCTAGATGATGGACCATATTTGATCAGAAGATAGTTCAGCATACATTGGTAGATCTCTAGGAAACCTGCAGTAGCAAGGACTTCTGACTCTCAATTGATAGTCATTAAGGTCCAAGTGGTGTACGGAGCTGCCCCTTAGGGGCCGGTCTGCATCAGCCCTAGAACTCAGAACCAGGATATGAATCCCTACTCAATAATGAATCCCTACTTTGGACTAGTTACACACTCTCAACCTCAAAAGAAGCCAATGGCAAAACCTCTTCTGAATAAATATTGCTATGAAAACTCCATGATTAGGTTGTTGTAGGGTTACCATATGTCAGAAATGACTTGAAGGCACATGACAGCGACAATGTTAATGCATTTCTGAAACTTAAAGCAAATTCCTGGGCTCTGAAATCTTTAATTCCAAATGTATGCCTTTTATACAGGCACCAGTTGGTGGTGTAATTTTTCAAAGTTTTTTAAAAAATAAAATAAAATAAAATAAAATTTCCCACAAGACTTAAGTCTTCCCATTGCTTCTGTATATCACAATAACCAAATAAAGTCAGCACCCACCTCAGTGACAATATAACAAAGAACCGAGCTATGGAACAACACTAACAAAACTTTTTTTGACTTTTTAGACTATGATGCAAGATTTGATACACATTACGGAACCCCACAAATTTCAGTATCATGATAATATAATGGAAGAAATAGCTGTTCAAAATTCGTGAAAAAGTCCTCCACATACAAAATTGACAGGAAATGTGGAAGGCATCCTATGCAGTCCAGAAAACATATGGAGATGGCAAATTGGAGTTATTAACCTTTTTGCATTTCTTCTTCAGTCCTTACTAGAAAACGAATTCAGGTATCAATCTGTACAGATTTTGGTTCATTGAGCAAACCAGTACTCATCCTAAAACTGCAAAATTCGGTTTGAAGTATGATTCTGAGCTTACGGACTTTTCTCTGTCTATAGGATGCCACCAGTAGATAAATATAACTCATGTTTCATTTAGCAAGCTGGACTCTTCCCTGATTTCAGAGATCAGGACAAACTGACTACATAATTTATATTAGTTCTCCATTTGCATACCACTGTATTTGCAAGGGACATGCATGTGTGTTTCTGCGTGTTCCTAAATAAATAATTGAAAACATTATTGTGGTTTTGATTAAAGAGAACATTCTTTGAGGTTGATATTCACCAAAGCCCACAGATGGAAATTACAGTTGGTCTTCATCTGCTTTCTGGAGAATGATATGATGCAAATATTAAAAAGTAATGAACTAACAAGATTGTTTGTTAATGCGACATAAAAGTGCTAATTATGCGTAATTTCCTGCCTGCAGCTAAACCCAAGAGACATTTTCGAAGAAATTGTTAAATCAGCTCCTTAATTGGAGATGTGAATGGATCAGAATTGCTCCATAGATGTATACTTAAGAACTTGCGTGTCACATCTGCTTCTGGAGTTATATGGAATAGAGGAGCAGACAACATGTTATATTCTGTTGTCATCGTTGTTGTTGTTATCCGAGGCCTTCCCTGACTTGCTCATAGGGAAGCAGCCACTTTAGGCAGTTGATCTGGGATGAAATAAAAAAGAAAGAAAATATAAATTGATTGATTATTGTTGGACTTTTATTACTGGGGCAAGTCACTAGTGGAATTTTCTGTCCAAACCAGTTGATCACTATGTATGTATGTGCTGCTGTTGTAGTAGTTTCTAACTTATGGCAACCCTAAGGTAACCCTGTCCTGGGGTCTTCTTGGTGAGATTTGTTCAGAAAGGGTTTGCCACTGACTTCCCCTGAGGCTGAGAAAGTGTAACGTGCCCAAGGTCACCTAGTAGGTTTCAAGGCTAAGCTGGGAATCAAATCCTGGTCTCTAGAGTTGTAGTCTAACAGTCAAACCACTATGCTACATTGTCTCTGTATGTATATATATATATATGTGTGTGTTTAATTAATTAATTAATCTATCTATATAAATAAATATTATTATTATTATTATTATTATCACTGCTTAAATATCCAATTTAATACATTTAAAAAACAGACTTATGATCTCATGTGATCTCAATGGGCCTTAAATAGACTTGCTGATCTCTACAATGGGAGCATTTGCCTTAGACATAGGATTCATTTGAGGGAACTGCACAGCCCTACAACCATGTATGCAAAGGACAACAGCTGAATCTGCACTGCAGAAATAATACAGTTTGACACTACTTTAACTGCCATGGCTCAATGCTATGGAATTCTGGGATTTGCACTGCACTGAGCCATGGCGGTTAAAGCAATGTCAACTTGGATTATTTCTGCAATGCAGATGCTGCTTTAGTCTTTGGAAGAATAGTATGGCTAACCAAGGGCTATTACAGGGTCCGTAGTTTTCATCAGTGAGAGGCATTGCTTTCAATTAGGGTTGATTTGCACAGGCAGTTTTGACCTTCAAAATAAACAGTATACAGATGCAATTTCAAAGAGTATTCAAAAAGAGGCTCCTTCCTTGAACCAAAGTGCATTCATACCAATTAATTTCACATATCATCCCATTATTACTGTTGAGTTTCATTAACATTTATTTGTATGCATGGATGTGTTTCTAGTGCCAGATGATTATTCAATTCTGCTTGGTTCAAATCTGAAAAAGAACTCCAGCGCTTTAGATAGAAACAGCTTAAACTTTTTTTTAAAAAAAAACTCTTTACAAAACCAAGCCAGAAGGACTTCTATTTTATATACTTATGTCCTGTGATTATTAGTCTTCTTGGAGAAACCAATACATTTCTACTGTGTCTAGCAATTATTATGCTTTATCAATCTGCTTCCCATGTGAAAAGAAAATAAATGTTTGGCTTTGCAATGGCATCATGTAACATGTTCTGGCTACTTGTGCCTGATAGCAGTCCTTTAAAATTGTACACACACAAACATATGTATATATACATATATACTAGGTATATATATATATATATATATATATATATATATATATATATATATATATATATATATATATATATATTAGGTAAAGGTAAAGGTAAAGGTATTCCCTATTGCCAAATCGTGTCCAACCATAGGGGGGCATATATATATATATATATGTGTGTGTGTGTGTGTGTGTGTGTGTGTGTGTGTGTGTGTGTCCATACGTTCGAATCCATAAAATAAGGATAAAGCAATAGGGAAAACCAATACATACTTTCAAGACCCAGAGACAACCTTTTTTGGAGGGGGTTCAAGCTACCTTGGATCTGAGTCACTTCAGGACTCAGCCTGAGGATCGCTGAATGGATTTTCAAATGGATTTCTGGCTGATGTGGGGATCACTAACTTTATTCTCAAAGGAAGCCACAAATAATTGTAGCAATTTTCTTCCCACTGTGAGAAAGTCTTGGAAAATGGCCATTTCCCAAAAACTACTCACTGTTCCAGACTTATTCTGTAGCTGGGGACTCATTTGGTACAAAATTGCAGTAGCTTGGGGCTTCTTCAAAACAAAATTCGCATTTTGGTTCTTTCTGCACAGAATACATCATTGCCTGTGCAGGAAACCACTTTTCAGGCAACATAATATAAATGATCCAAAATGGTTTCTTCTGTTCTGTAACTTTAGATTTTCTCTGTTCTGTATATGCTTCATCAGAATGGTTTAGTCTCTCTCTTTCTCTCTCTCAGAATTGGAGCATGTGCTGTTTGCCCAGTTTGCATGTGCTCCAGTTCATTTATATTATTATTTCCATCTATATTACTGGCACTTGTTGCTGTAGATTTTGTTGCGTGCCTTCAAGTCAAGAGACTCAGGGACTTTGTAGTCAGTCATTTATTAATGTTTAGACTTTGTAATGCAATGGCCTTCAAGTCATTTCTGACTCATGACTAAGGCAAGCTTATCACAGGGTTTTCTTGGCAAGATTTGTTCAGAAGATGTTTTGCCAGTGTCTTCCTCTGAGGCTGAGAGAATGTGACCTTCCAAAGGTCACCCAAATGGTTTCCATGGCAGAGCAGAGATTTGAATCCTGGTCTCCTGGGTCATAGCTCAAGCCACTACACCATAGTCTATCATTGCCCCAGTGGGATGTGTGTTTGTGCATGTCTGTGTGTATATACAGGTATGTGGATATATATATATGTGTGTGTGTTTGTGTGTCTGTTAAAAAAACAATTTCAGAAAGGGCACTGCCTCTCCATGGTCAGGTGCACACTAAAGACCATGTTATTCCTCTGTGTTTTTGATACACAGTAAAATACGAACAATTGCTCTCTGAATTTCTGTTGAAATAAAGATAACACAAAGTATCTGTATCTGAATTCATAATGGCTCTCTTTAACTGATGTGTTTGGTGAGAGGGTTAGTTGAAAGGCAATTAATGCATCTTGGAAATAAATGAATAAATTAGCATGCATTGCAAATAAGTGGATTCCAAATGCAAAAGCCGCTCGCAATATTTCAGCGACACAAACGAAAGAATAGGCAAGGTATGAGTAAATAATTCTGGAGTTTGGCTATGAATATTGTGTGTTTATAGAAAGACTAATATGCAAATATACACTTTGCAGTGACGTGTTTCTTCTTTCTTAATTTAAGGGACGGTCAGCATTTGGACCGTGGCGTTATGCATTGTCTTCAGCACATTTATGGGATGATACAACAGTGATTAGCTATTGAGTGGCTATAAGGATTCAGATTATATGGCTTTTGGATTTGCAGGAAGGTGGCAGGGAGGAAAACAATAAACCATATTATGGGCTTGCTTGTTGAAGACGGCATTTCCTGAAACTGTTTGTGATCTAACAGGAGGTCTGAGAAAAGAGGAACTGAGAGTGATGCGCTTAACCAGGATTGCATCCACACTGCAAAAATAATCCAGTTTGACACCACTTAACTGCAAAGGGTCACTACTATGGCATTCTGGGGTTTGTAGTTTTGTGTGATAGTTCTCCTTCTCTGTCAAAGAGCTCTGGTGCCACAATAAACTACAAAAACCAGGATTGAGCATAGCATTGAGCTCTTGGAGTTGAAGTGGTGTCAGACTGCATGATTTAGGCAGTGCAGCTCCAGCATGTGACACAAACCCCATATGATACTTTTTATCTTTTGTCCAATCTTCTTTTTGACACTGTACATCACTGATTGGTGCAAAAAAATAGAATAAAATAAAATAAAAAAATAAAAAAAATAGTATTTGAGCTTCAATGGCAAACTCTCTATGAACAAATCTTGCCAAACACACACACACACACACACACACACACACCTGTGATTGATTTGCCTTAAGATTGCAGAAATGACTTGAAGGCATACAACAACAGCAGTATTATTATTATTATTATTATTATTATTATTATTGCAATTTACTTATGTGTACTAGGATAAAAATCGGTTCAAACAACACAATTTAAAACAATATAGCACCTTCTTACAAGCCCTTTCCATAAAAGTTTTCAGTTCTAAAAGCTTGTCTGAATAAAAGGATTAAGAGAGCCCGTATACTGTAGTGGTTTGAGCATTGGACTATGACTCTAGAGTCCAGGGTTCAAATCCATGCTCAGCCCTGTAAACTCACTGGGTGACCCTGGGCAAGTTACACTCTCTCAGCCTCAGGGGAAGGCAATGTCAGTCCTCCTCTAAACAAATCTTGCCAAGAATAACCAATGATTGGTTTGCTTTAGGATCATCATAAGTCAAAAATGACTTGAAGGCACACAATAACAACTTGTCAAGGGAAGAAAAGCAAGGAAGGTGTCATTCTAGCATCCCTTGGGAGAAAATTGTAAAGCTGAGGGGCAGCCATTGAGAAGGTCCTGCCTTCTGGTCCCACCAACCATACCTCTGAAGATGGTAGGACTGCAAGAAGGTCCTCTTCTGAGGATCTCAGGTTCAGGGCAGACTCTTAGGTGGAGTAAATTAAATAGTATTGTTGGTTCCATCCAGCCAACATTAAGAATGAGTGTCCATCCACATGTCCATCACAACTATGCCCTGTCCAAGTCCAGCCCAGCAAAACCCCTTTCCATCCAAATCCATTTGGATCATACAGAAGGAGTGTGCATTTGTTTCTATTATTTGGATCTCCATATCGATGCTTTTGCCCTCAAGCATAAAACATGGGTTTAATGCTCAACTGGCTGGGGAAAAGATGATAAATTCCAAGCAGATTTATAAACACGGACTTTAACTTTTTCAATATTCTGCATTTTGATTGGTTGCCTCTTACATCTTCCCCCCCACCCCCTTTCCAGTTTACCAAGGCTGTTTTAAAAAAGGGAAAGAGAGAACAGGGAATGAATCAAAGCATGGGACATTGAAAAGGTCAAAGCGTTAGAGTTTACTATTGTCATCATAGAATATATGAGACATTAAGATTCCGGTGCCACGGTCTTCTGACAAAGAATATAATGAGAACTATAAATAATAAACAACACAACATGAATCTGTTCCCATGATGATGACTGCAGCTAAGCTAAGGGAATAAATCCTTAAACCATCCTTGCTGAAATATAAAAAATGAGGGATTTGCTCATGGTGTTAAAAAAAAATCAAACACAAGAGGCAAGTTATGGGGTTAGATAAGTCAATAAAGATTGTAAACGTAGTGTTGCCCATAGCATCACACTTCCCCTCCCCATATAAAACTAAATCCATCATTGTGCTTTTATGAAATAGCACAGCAGGTCTCAAACACAAGCATCCACATAACAGTTCTCTTAGCAGGGTATGCATTGCTGTCATAGTTCAACATTGCATTTAAGAAATAGATTTCCATCTTCCACTTTCATCATTAAAAATAATAAGAATTGTAACAGTATCAGAAAATATCTCAGCTTCACTGACAAAGTTGTTGTTGTGTGCCTCCAAGTTGTTTCTGATGTATGGCGACCCTAAGGTTTTCTTGGATTGCCATTGCCATCCTCTGAGACTGAG